GATAGTCTAGAATAAAGCTATAGTGCGTAAATTGTAGCGAATTGCGGAAAATTTTCACTTTGTGCGGAAAATTCCAGATTAGAGTTTTAATTTTTCCCTGTTCTGCCCAGTACTGTTGGACCTAGTTAGAGGCCGAATTAGCCTTAGATTAAAACATGAAAGTTGTAGAGAATGATATTTTATAGTTGCCTGCAAAATTTCTACCCCAGTTGGAGTAACGTAGCCTATGAAAAGACTGAAATACCCCGGCTACCCTGTTTCTGTCCGAAACTAATAATCAGCTTTGGTAATTGGTTAGTTTGACTGGGAATACTACTGATTTGGTTGTCGATATCTTCTTAACATTTATAGCACGGTATCTTAGCTTTCAGATGGCTTTGGAATCACTTGAATTGGAGTCGTATGTGCTGAGATATGATTGAATGAAACAGGACTGCTGGTTGTATTTAATAGTGAGTTTCGAACTGAAAAATTTAGGGCTATTTTGGTAAATTTGACCTAGTTAGGGTGAGAACTGGACTAAATGGTCTTCATCAAAGTTAAAGCTCTCTGTCTTAGCTTCGAAACGGTATAACGTACACTTCAATCCAATAAGCGTAGTTTCGGTTATGTCCGATACGCTAAATAGCGGTGAATCTGCCTTTTTGGTTTCTTAGCTTAAAGCTCATTTCCGGTCATTTCCTTAGCTAAATCTTATCCTTGAATGACTTTAAGCCTATTGAATGGCGGTTATGATGAATTTATATTGTGTATGATTTTGGGATTGATTGAGGAAAATAATGAAGTCATAAGTGGCTGAAAAATAGGTAAATACAAAGGGCGTACTATCCAAATTCACACTCGAGGATTAAGTAATGATTTGAGAGCGAATGCCATATGAACCATCTAGAATATTTGCGTCTTCTTTTATCGAGGTATATAAGTTCGAATCTGGCTGAACCTTGTACACTTGAAAAATGAAATTTACGACTAATAGAAATACATTTTCTTCATTTCTTCGACTCAAATGGATATTTCAAAATTTTACGAGCCAGCATAAGTTTTTCAAATATTTTACTCATGTCCTTTGGTTTAAATATACTCTTTTCACTTCCAAAAAAATCATATTTATACTTTGTACTAGTGGTATTTGAATTATTTTCGATTCACCTAACTTTTACTGGAGGAACTGTAATATTTTCTCTTGATTAACCTTAGGGTTCATCGGTGATTGAGAGTGTTACCCAGAAGATATTCTGGACATTATTTTGCCTTAATAGGTGAGTGTACCACTCCCCTGATGTATTGCTAAACTGGTTATCTGTACTTGCAAATTGCTATTTGAATGTCTTTCTCGACTGTTTATTTTGTACGAGACGAGTATGTACTTTATCACACTCGCTCTCTGGCCTATGTGACTTGTTTCCTGTATATACTTGAATCTGTTACCTGCGTCTGTTATAATGTCATTTGGAAGTGCATCCAACGACCTTCCCCTTAAATCTGAGTTCAACCTCATGGGGAGTTAATTGAATCAAGCCAGCACGGGCTTGGTCAAGGAAATTGACAATACATGGGTGCCTGTTCCTTGGGAATTTATGGGTATTGGAGACTCTGGATTTTCGATATACTCGAGTATTACCATTTCTGTTCCTGTTTTGCGTTCGGGCCTAGTAAGGGATATGTTTGGTAAACGGGATTTTGGCGTTAAAGTGGTGATCTACTGGATTGGTTCCTTTATTTGAACGTTGACGGATGGTCAACAAGGTTGGATCAAGTATTGCAACGGGTATTTGGCTCCTGAGAGCCACCTGTATCCTTTACATTGTGGTGTTCATTTCTTTCTCGTATTTGATGTGAATATGTGATTCAAAAGTGTATTCTCATGAGTTCTATTGCTTACACTTTTGGTACCTCATTGAGCTTTTAACTCATCTCGTTCCGTTATCCTTGTTTTCCTTACAGGGAACCACTTTTGGAACTATGATTTTGAAGCATAAGTCGAGCAAGTTTAAATATTTTGTATAGCTCCTCAATGGTTGGAAACCCTAATTGTACTTGGATTCTAATGTTCCCTTTTGATTTGTAAAAATACGAATGTGATTTATAAAAGCATGTACTCATGTTCATGTGTTATATTTGGTTTGTATAAGTCCATTTCAAGGATTATATGAAGTTACTTGTATTCGATTCGGTCCCAATCGAATTGTGACATGACCGGCACTGTTCATATGCGTCTTCGATTTTTTCCGTTTTCGTTTCATGATTTTTGCTTCGTTTGAGCGCACTAATACATTCTGAAACGTTTTAGACTGTACATAATCACGCTAGTAGTCCTGGCGAGAGTTGGGCAGACAGTCCGCTAACCCCTTTGGTACGCATTAAGGGAAGGTGGAGCTGTCACAAAAACAAAATAAAACGAAATCCATCAAAGAAGAAAGCTTGCAGAGAAAAGAAAACGAATTAGAGAGAAGTTAGAGAAAATGAGAAGTAGACAGCGAACATTTGACTGCCAATTAATTAATGGAGAGGCAAAATTCATGCCTTTCAACTCTAAATCCACACCTAAATAATACTCCCTTCGTCCCATTTTGATAGTCCTGTTTTTTTTTCACACAGTTTTAGAAAAAATAGTTAAATTTGTTGGAAAAGTAAATTTAGATTGCTATTTTTCTAAAATACTCTCACATTAAATATGGTATAACTTTATGGGAACTTGAATTGATGGTAAAAAAAGAATCAATTCTCATTAAATGGGGTAAGTTTATAGTAATAACTACTTACATTAAATAAGGGTATTTTAGAAAAATTAAAATACAACTACATTCTTCAATTGGAAAGTGGACTACAATTTGAGACAGATGAAAAAGGAATACAAGACTATTAAAGTGGGACGGAGGGAGTAATATGACATTCGAGCCGTTAGCATTTAATGCATTTCCTTCCAATTCCAAATTTATGAGTTCACATTAGAAATAATTTGCTTTTTACTATTTTTTAAACTGTTTATTCCATTATTTATCTTTCTATTGTTTTCCAATTTTACGGACTTCTAACTAATATATCCTAAGAAGTATAAAAAGGGGAGTTGGCTGATATCTCATAAGAAGTGATGGTCCCGTATGGGCACCATCAGTAGGTGGTTAATTATGGAATTTCACTTTGATGTTTGGGTGTTAGACAGATACGATGGTGTTGTTAGCTTACGTGGAAGCAATTGGGAGTTCTGAAGTTGCATGTCTTGCATGTCTTTGTTAAAAACGGTGCGAACGTCCACTAACTTGGCTTCAAGGTGCAAATCTGTTCTAGCTTACGTGGAAGCAATTGGGAGTTTCTGAACTTGCATGGCTTGCATGTCTCTGTTAAAGACGGTGCGAATGTCTACTAACGAGGCTTCAAGGTGGAAATCTGTTCTAGACATTTGTCGGTTCATATATATAAAGTGCAAAATTGTTCACTTTTGCAGTCTTCTTGTTCACTTTTGCAGTTTTCTTGCTTAGTTCTTTTGTCGGAGCTTTGAACTCACTGGTGAGTTCCTTCTTATTCATTTTTGTCACGATTCCGTGTCTTTTGTTGCATGCATGAGGTTTTGGCAGTTCATATATACATATATAAGTACAAAATTGTTCTGTTTTGTAGTTTTCTTGCTCATTTCTTTTGTCGCAGCTTTCAAACTAGCCATCAGTTCCTTTTGATTCCTTATGCGTTTTGTGCTACATGTGCGAATTTTGCATATGTATATATCCTCAGAAGTATAAAAAGGGGAGTTGGCTGATATCTCATAAGAAGTGATGGTCCCGTATGGGCACCATCAGTAGGTGGTTAATTATGAAATTTCACTTTGATGTTTGGGTGTTAGACAGATACGATGGTGTTGTTAGCTTACGTGGAAGCAATTGGGAGTTCTGAAGTTGCATGTCTTGCATGTCTTTGTTAAAAACGGTGCGAACGTCCACTAACTTGGCTTCAAGGTGCAAATCTGTTCTAGCTTACGTGGAAGCAATTGGGAGTTTCTGAACTTGCATGGCTTGCATGTCTCTGTTAAAGACGGTGCGAATGTCTACTAACGAGGCTTCAAGGTGGAAATCTGTTCTAGACATTTGTCGGTTCATATATATAAAGTGCAAAATTGTTCACTTTTGCAGTCTTCTTGTTCACTTTTGCAGTTTTCTTGCTTAGTTCTTTTGTCGGAGCTTTGAACTCACTGGTAAGTTCCTTCTTATTCATTTTTGTCACGATTCCGTGTCTTTTGTTGCATGCATGAGGTTTTGGCAGTTCATATATACATATATAAGTACAAAATTGTTCTGTTTTGTAGTTTTCTTGCTCATTTCTTTTGTCGCAGCTTTCAAACTAGCCATCAGTTCCTTTTGATTCCTTATGCGTTTCGTGCTACATGTGTGAATTTTGCATATGTATATATAGGTCAAATATGTATATATAGGTCAAAATCAAAGTACAGAAACAGAAAATCATTCAAAGTCTCCAAATAAGTTCAAGTATATACATATTGTATTCTGGAAGTTTGATTTCTATGTGGTCTGAAAGTTTGATTTCCATAAAATGACTTGTTCAAAAGTGCAGAAACAGAAAACCATTCTGAGTCTGTAAATAAGTTCAAGTATATACATATTGTATTCTGGAAGTTTGATTTCTATGTGGTCTGGAAGTTTGATTCCTATAAAATGACTTGCTCATCTCTCGTTTCTATGTTTTTTTATCTATGTCTCGAATTGCAGCTAACTGTTTAAGATTGCTGCTGGTGCAAATTGTTCAAGGATCATTATCAATGGCTGATCGGTTAGTTTTGCTTTGTTATCTGAGTTATTCTGTTTGATGTATTAAAGCTTTTGACTCATATCTTTGATTAGGATCAGTTTTGATTATTTCTACCTATATGCTTATTTGTATGAATAATTTTACATTTTCTTAGACTGGAGCTAAGTAAATTTCCTGCATAAGTATATTTATGATTATGGTTTAACAAATAAACAATGCCACCAAAAAAAAATATGCTACTCTTCAAGAACGATACCAGGAAAGAAATAGGAGACGGCGAGAGCGTCGTGCTATTAATAGGCCAGAAGAAGTTGGGAATTGTAGCAGAGGCACTTCCACTATAGCATTAACGGCAGTCCAAATCTGTCCTCAGTATATTGAATCAGTATCTGGTGTTCCAGAACAACCAGGAAAATGTAATCAGCAAAAGAGAAGAAAGCGTGATTCTTCAAGTTCAAAAGCTCCTATGATTAATCTAGATCAGAATTCTGATCCTATTTTGACTTCTACAGAGTCAGAATCAATACCTGTTGAATGCATTCAATCAACATATGGTATTCTACAAGGAGCAAGAAAATGTAATCAGAAAAAAGGAACAAAGGCTGATCTTTCGAACTCAAAGCTTGGTATAATTGATCTGGATCAAAATTCTGATAATGTCTTAATCTCTGGCAAGTTAGAATCCTTCCAAGGTATACAGAATTCTCAAACAACAAATGTTATTCACACCTCTGGTATTGACATTCCTTCAACCAGTACGGGGGTAAACAATGATAGTTATCAAATTGCTTCAAGTAGTACAGCAATAAACAATGCCACTCTTGGATCTCAAAAATCTGCCCGGCGATCTCAACAACGTCCTCAAAGACAAAAAAGAGATATTCTGCAAAATATTGCTACAGAATCAATGACATTACCAGAAGCTCCTTCTTGTAAACTCTGTGGAGCAAAAAAATTTCACTTAGAGCCTCCTGGTTTTTGTTGTTCATCAGGTGAAATTCGACTCCTTGAAACTGAGATGCCTCGAGAATTGATGTTATTATATCTCAGTGACAATGATGAAGCTACAGACTTTCGCAATTGTATACGAAACTATAATAATATGTTTGCTTTCACTTCAATAGGAATGCACTGTGATAAGGAATTAGGAAAAAAGTACAATGGTATCTATACCTTTCGAGTGCAGGGTCAGATGTATCATTTTATAAATCCATTAGTTCCTGCTGATGGTCAAAAGCCAGTGAATTTGCAGTTGTATTTCTATGATACTGAGCATGAAGTAGAAACTCGTCTGTCCATATCAAACAAGTTCAGAGAAAATTTGATAGCAATGTTAGCTGATCTATTGAAAGTAAATCCGTACTCATCATTTTTCCGTGGATTACAAGACTTGCCTGATCTAGATGAATACAAAATAATGTTGCAATCAAATCCAACAGTTGATCAGCACGTTTACAACAAGCCAACAGTTTCACAAGTTGGTGCTCTTTGGACAGAGTCGCAGACCTCTGATCAAACGAATAGCAAACACATTCAAGTATATTCAAAAAGTGGCAATGCTCAGATTCTGAAACACTATCATGGCTGCTATGATCCAATGCAATATCCACTTATATTTCCTAATGGAGAACCAGGATGGCATCCAGGCATAGAAAAACTTTCAAGTATACAAAATAATGCTGCTTCAGGTAAAACCTGTCCAGGAGAAAGAACAATTCCAGTAGATATGTTCATGACTGCAGAAGATGTTATACATGCTGAAAACCAAGGTATCATTAATCATATATATTAACAATTTCTATTTAAGATCAATTTACATTAGCTATAGTTATTACATATTGTACCTAATTACTCATCTTTCTATAAACAGTTGCAGCAAAGTGTAGCAAAAAGCGAAAATATGTATCTTGCAGAGAATATTATTGCTACAAACTGCAGATTAGACCTGAAGACAAATCAATGCTCTTGCATATTGGAAGGCTCCTCCAGCAATATGTGGTTGACATGTACGTGAAGATTGAGACATCACGACTTGATTTTTTCAAGAATGATCAGTACCAGAGTCGCCTGAGGACAGAGTTATATCAAGGTCTTCTTGATAGCTTATCAACTGGAGAAACCAATGGCTCAAATGTTGGTAAAAGATTCATATTGCCTCGTAGCTTTATTGGTGGTCCACGCGACATGAAACGTCGTTATTTAGATGCAATGACTTTGGTTCAGCAGTATGGCAAACCAGACATTTTTTTAACAATGACCTGCAACAAAAATTGGCCAGAAATCAAGAACCTTTTATTGCCAACAGAGAAGACAGAGAATAGGCCTGATCTGGTATCCCGAGTTTTTCGAGCTAAGTTGCAAATGTTAAAGAATGAACTTTTCAAGAAACATATTTTTGGTAAAGTTGCAGCTTACACATATGTTATTGAGTTTCAGAAACGTGGTCTTCCTCATGCACATTTTCTCATCATTCTAAAGCATTGCTCTAAGTTATTGAGTTCTGAGGCATACGATCACATTGTTTCTGCTGAGCTACCTGATATTCATATACACAAGCATCTACACTCTTTAGTAGCACAACATATGATGCATGGACCCTGTGGACAAATAAATCCAAACTGTCCTTGTATGCAGAAAAATGGAGTTTGCAAAGATAAGTATCCAAAACAATTTGCTGAATCAACAAGACATGGTCAGAACTCTTATCCAATCTATCGACGAAGTGATGACAAAAAGACTGTCAAGGTTCGAGGACATCATTTGGATAATCGATGGGTAGTTCCTTATAATGCATATCTTTTGTCCAAATTTGACTGCCACATGAATATAGAGATATGTTCTACTATACAAGCAGTTAAGTATATTTATAAATACATCTATAAGGGTCATGACAAGATACTATATCAATTCAGCAATGGAGAAGCAAATCAGATGCTTGATGAAATCAAGAACTTTCAATCAGCCAGATGGATTTCAGCACCAGAAGCTATGTGGAGAATATATAGTTTTGATCTTAATGAAATGCATCCCTCTGTAATGACTCTACCAGTGCATCTAGAAAATCAACAGCCAGTAACTTTTCCAGATCAACAATCTGTTGATGATGTTATAAAGAATGCACATTTGAAGAAAACTATGCTTACAGAATTCTTCCAGATGAATAAGTATGACCATTTTGCAAAAAATTTGAATTGCCTATATACAGATTTCCCTCAATATTTCGTATGGGATGCTAAGTCAAGATATTGGTCATTGCGACAGCAAAGAGATGTAATTGGAAGAATTGCTGGAGTTCATCCTTCTGAAGGTGAAAGGTACTATTTAAGACTCTTATTAAAGCATGTTAAGAAGCCAACATCATTCCATGATCTAAAACTAATTAATGGCAAAATTGCTACATCCTTCAGAGAAGCAGCAGAGTTCTTAGGTCTATTACAAGCTGATAATAGTGCAGAAATTTGTTTAGCAGAGGCTATTCTATATCAAATGCCATCTTCACTTCGTCATCTGTTTGCTACAATCTTAGTCTACTGCAATCCTTCAAACTGTCAAGAGTTGTGGCTAAAGTTTAAGCATTTTCTTTCTGAAGATATTGAACAGAATAAAACGTTATCTGCAGAAGTAGTCAACAGCACAGTGTTGCAGATTATAGACATGCATTTGAGAGCAATGGGAAAACAGATCACACACTATGGTTTTCAGCTATTACCAAATACACTACTACAGAATCACATGGACACAAAAGAACTTCAGGCAGAAAAAAATATCATCACTCCTGAAGAAGATTTGCTCTCAGTATATCAACTAAATGAAGAGCAGAAAATTGCATTTGATAAAGTACTGCATTGTGTCAACAATAACATATCAAAGGCATTTTTCATTGACGGACCAGGAGGAACTGGAAAAACCTACCTCTATAAAGCTCTGCTTGCAACTATAAGATCACAAGGCTGCATAGCACTTGCTACTGCAACATCAGGTGTAGCAGCATCCATTCTTCCTGGAGGTCGAACTGCACACTCAAGGTTCAAAATCCCCATTAATGATGATCAAAATAAGTACTGCAACATCAGCAAGCAAAGTGTCTTGGCTCAGCTAATCAGAGATGCAAAGCTCATTATATGGGATGAAGCTACTATGGCTAAAAGAAAGTCAGTTGAAGCCCTTGACAAGATGTTACAAGACATAACAAATAACGACCATTTATTTGGTGGAAAAATCATTGTCTTTGGTGGTGACTTTCGTCAGACTTTACCAGTGATCACACATGGTACCAGAGAAGATATCATAGATACCAGTCTTGTCATGTCACCATTATGGAGCAAATTCGAAAAGATCAGATTAACAATCAATATGAGAGCTAGACTTGATCCAGATTTTTCCACATTCTTGATGAGAATTGGAGATGGAATTCAGCAAACTACTGATCAAGATGAAGTCCAGATACCAGAATCAATCAACATTCCTTTTCAAGATGATGAAACTTCCATAAATGCTCTGATTGATACTGTGTTCCCAAATATGGAGTACATTACTTCAACAACATCATCTATCATCAATCGAGCAATATTGATGACAAGAAATGACTTTGTTCATCAGATTAATCATAAATTGATAATGAAATTTCCAGGAGCAGAAATAACCTACTTCAGCAATGATGAACCATTAGACTCCTCAGTACAGTTCCAAGATCAAGATCTACTGCATTCTCTTACACCTAAGGGCCTCCCTTTACATGAGCTACTACTGAAAAAGAACTGTCCAGTCATGCTTCTCAGAAACATCAATCCAAGTGAGGGCCTATCAAATGGTACACGCCTAATCTGTAAGGAATTTTCGAATAACATAATTCAAGCACAGATAGCATTTGGCTCTTTTGCAGGAAAAATTGTTTTCATTCCAAGGATACCATTACAAGCTTCTGATGAGGAATTGTCTTCAGTACAGTTCAAAAGAACTCAATTTCCACTACGTTTGTGTTTCGCAATGACCATTAATAAAGCTCAAGGGCAAACACTTGATTATGTTGGACTTTACCTCAGAGAACCAGTTTTTTCTCATGGACAACTTTACGTTGCTTTGTCAAGAGCACGGACAGCTACTAACATTAAAGTCCTGATACAGCCACCACACAGACAAACAGAAAGCACCAATTTTACACGAAATGTTGTCTATCAAGAAGTGCTTTCAGCAGTAACTAATAGCTAACTCCTACTTCCTCGCACTTCCTCTATTATTTTCCTTATGTTTTCTATCATTATTTACCATTTTGGTTCTTTTCATAAATCTGCTTTAGTGATATATTGATTCTTTGACCAGCTCTTTTTACAGCACTATGCCATGGACACTGTATATACTTATCTGTATACATAAATGCTGACTAATCTTGCAGTGAAATAGAAGAGCTCTGTATTCCCATTACAGAAATAGCACAAGAAAAAGAAGATTGGGTTGCAAAAGCTATTCTCATTGAGAAAACAGCTCCCCGTATCAGTAAAGATGGAAGTACTACATTTCAGAAATATCTGTTCCTTGACAAAGAGGTAAATTTATTCATATAAAGAGTACATAAGGAAAATGTTCTACAGAATAGAAGTAAAAACTCACTCATTATATTTTATTCTCTGTTGCTGCAAAATACAGAAAAGTACAATCCAAGCTGTCTCATACACAAGAGACATACAAGCTCTAGATCAAGCACTTGTCTTGTACTCTACATACTACATTGGCAATGCAAAGGTGGAGCCTATAACAATAGAAAATTTCAGATACTGCACTTCACCATTTCAACTAACCTTGACCAGAGGTACATTCATCAAAGAAGCAGATCAAGAAAACCAGTATCCTATCGATCAGTGCTACAATTTTACACCATTCAGAGACTTCTATAAGTACATGGATACAAATACAAATCCGATAAGTACTACTTCACTTTAATAATTTTCATTACATTGTTACTACAATGATTCTTACATATCAATACTAATACCTAATGCTCTTGTCTCAGCTCTGCTATGCACTGTCATTGGAGCTCTTCCCCGTCGCTTCATTGCACGACAAAGAGGCGATTATCCAATTCAAGAATTCATCATCCTAAATCAAGAGTAAGTATAAAAACAATGCAAATTAATAAAGTGCAATACAACACAAAACTCATATTAACTATTGATAACTGATGCAGACAAAAGCCAATGATACTTACAATGTGGCCAAAATTCATTGACATTGAAGCACAATACCTTCTGAGGATCTTAAATCAATCCCCGACATTGATTATAACAAGAGCCAAAGTGACTTCAGTACATGGTATGTCAATCTGTCCCTAATTCATATAAACTTACAAAAGTCAAGTATATTATCTGCTTTACAGAATATAGTACTAATTTTTCAAATAATCATATAACAGTTTTATCTGTCGAGACACAAACAATGAGTGCTATCTTGTTTGATCCACAAATCCCTCAAGCACTAGAACTCAAAAGTTGGTAAGTTGATAAAGTCAATATTTACTTATTCGTTAGGCACATTATAACCAAAATCTGACACCATCCTATACAATATAACAGGACCAAAGCAAGCAGACCTTATATTGAGCAAGTTTTAGCAAAAAAACTTTATGATGCAACTCATCAAACAGTCCAACCTCCTCCTGAAGAACATATGCACGACATCAGCTATGCACTAAATACTCCTTATCTGGTACAACTACTACATTTATCAGTACAAAATACAATATATTCGATAACAAATACTATCACAACAAAATCTAATATTTAACCACATGAAATCTTACAGGCAAAGCCATTCTGGATCAAAGCCAAAGCAAAGATAGTTCAGCCTCAACATCGACTCTACATCCTTACCTGTCCAGCTTCTAATTGCAAGAAACAAACTGGAGCTCAAGCAAATTTCAACTTCTTATGCCGTCATTGCAACATGACATTTGCAAAACCACTGCCAAGGTAAATCCATAAACATATTTACACACTAAAATTCATAACATTCTTCTTATCATAACATAACAAAACCATAATACTTAATGCAGGCTCAAGTTCTTAGTGCAACTGTCTGATACTACTGGAACAATTACTGCACAAATTGAAGACCAGCATGCTCAACACATTCTCAACATCTCTGCTGAAGACATACTCTACATGACACTAAAGGTAATTTTGAACATTAACAACATTACTTTTTATAGAATACAAATTTATTCACACTATTCATATACCAAACCAAAGACATACTCATTCAGAAACCAATGTCCACAGAACCAAATTCCAGATATTGCAGACATCAATATAAAGCTCCATATGAGCACATTTCGTTTTCAAGTCAGGAAATTCACTCATCCTCTACAAAACACAATTGTAGCAAAGTACAACATCCTCGCTTGTCTACCAATTGAAGATCCTACACAGACCCCTGCACCAGCAACCAATGAAGCCTCATCATCAAACCTACCTGATCAACAAATTGCAACTGAAGATTCAAGCAAAGACACAACCAATCCAACCATCGCACAAGCTACAGCAACTAAGAAAAGAGATCCACCAGCAACAATCACTGACCAGCCAAAGCACCAAATAATCGACTAAAATCATGCACCATTCCTATGTTTTGCATCAGCTTTTGAGATCAGTTTAGTGTCATAAAGTCACCTATTTTTGTCAATGATCACCTTTTGCTAATGTACATACCAGCTTTTGCTGCTTTTGTCTACAGTTCTTGATGAAACTTGTACACTATAGTAAACAGCTTTTGCTAATGTACGAACTACCAGTATCCAATGTATGCACATATATTATAAACTATTGCCTCCTGTAAATTCACATAAAAGCTCCAAGTTTCTGTTCATACCAACTAAACCACAATTCGGGACCCAGCATATAACAATGAACAATCGACAGAAGTGACTCAAAATTAAAGAAAGATGAGTGCTTGGATCCATATTATCAATCTACATTCATCGTTTCTTATAAAAAAAAAAAAAGGGGGCAAAGAAAGAGAAAACCCGCCAACAACGATTCATCTATTGGATGCCAAAATGACTACCGCCTCAAAGCTGAAGCTTTTTGCTTTCTTTTTGCTTTGGCGTACGACCCAAAACCTTAGAATTAGTTAAAGCTTGTCCGGAGGACTAGACGGGAAAGGGGAATGAATGAAGTTCAAGAAACTCACGGGGGATGAAGCGCTTCTTGACAGCATATGCAAGCAAAACAACGACGAAAAAATCAAAAATCAGGGGATTGATGATGTCATCGTTGACGTCAAGACTTGGTATATACAGAGTACAGACACCCAACCAGGGGGAGCAACCAAACCGCGGAGAAGCAGATGCTTCCAGCTGCCAACTTAATCCGTCTTAGGGTTAAGAGACAAGGATAAAAACACACTTTTAATACATTTGGTAAGTGTATTTCCTTTCCTTGAAATTAACAATAGGTGTTTTATTATTAAAAATAATTGTAGTACAAATTCAAAATTAATTTAATTTAACTTTAACAATTTACTTTTAGAGCAACTTGTATATTTTAAAATACAATTGAATTTAAAATTTTGAATTAAATGAAGAGGTAAATATGTTTCAAAAATTAAAAAAAGTACGCATTTATCAAATAGAAAAAAAGTACTTGTGCAAATATACTTCCAAATAATATCATTAAGCGCTTTATAAATATTTTGACCAAAAATTCTATTCATTTAAATGGTTTTTTTTTTTTGATAAGTCATCACAGCTCCAAATGGAATGGTGTCACAATAAATTTGCATAGGTTTCTTTTATTTTTGCTTTTTGGGTTTCCCATGAGTAATCCGTACTTAGACCGATTCCCATTTTTAATCATTAGGCCCTGTTTCGTTCTAGGAAAGTATTGGGGAAAGGGAGAGTAAATCCATGGAAAGTATTTCTTGTGTTTGGCAGGAGCGGGAAAAAAAAAAGGCAAAAGAAGAAAATCATGGAAATTGAGAACGAAACTTCCCCTTGATAGATGCTATTCAAATACCATTTTAATTATTCTTAGTAACCACGTCCAATACCTTAATTGTCTAGGTCTTAATTAAGTATCGTTAAGCAAAATTGTTTTTTCAAAAATTATTACTCCTCGGAAATTTATTTTGATTTTCTCTGATTATTTTACAAGCATCACTAATCGATAAATACTTTTCCATTCTTTTATAGCCACAAAATTTTTTTTTCACTTTCATCTGGGCACCATCATGCATCGCATGATGCCCCAACAAACTAGTAAGCTATTTAACAACAGTAGACTTTCCAGGCAAATGTGTCATTGGCTTTGAGATTTTTGGGCTTATCAAATGTGTAAAATATGAACATTCACTCAACGTGTCACAGTCAGATTTGACCCGACTACAGATGAACCTTTCTATCTTTAATCATTCAACGATGATATTTTGTGGTTAATTCGTGTCAGAAAGCTATTCCTTACCATGGTAATTCTTAAGAAGGTGCTTATCTTTACCAAGGCAATTTATGTCATATTTTTTATGAAGAGATAATTTTAGAATTTGCAAAAAAAAAAAAAATACAACTAAACTTATTAAATTCTAAGGAATTTAATGTCTTAAGAATAACTCGTTACTCAAATTTACTTCTTATCCAAAAAAAAAAAAAACACTTGGTAGGTGGTGGGTGGATGAATGCTGTACTACCTTGACATTCTCGATCGCGAATGCGAGTAATCTTTTGGGGGTTTGAAACACAAGCAATAATGCACCCCCAATCCTTTTCAAGGCAGAAAACAAATTTTTAAAGTCTTCCTTCCACGCTTCATCATTTATCTTGCTTCCAACTCGTCAAGCCTCCTCAATAATACACTTGCAATTCCTTGGTCCCACCATCCCCTCACCCGCCCCCGGTCCCGCAGCCCCCTGAATCGATAGTCTTCCCTCCGTTCAGCTTTTCTGTTTTATCATGGCCAATCCTCATTCCCCGGTCCCTTAATCCCCTCCCAAACAACCCAAAATCTCCCCAGGCCAAAAAAAAAAAGAAGGAAGAAGCAAAAAAAAAAAAAAAAAGCACGAAGAGATGGAGAGCTACCCATTGAATAATTCATCCTACCCGGATTCCGTAAATTCCTCCCCAAGGTCCCTCGAAAATTCCTCCTGGGATGAGGCCATTTCTTCTTCATCTGCCTACTTCAAAGTCAAGTTCTTGTGCAGTTACGGCGGTAAAATCCTCCCCCGCCCTCATGACAACCAGCTCACTTACGTCGGCGGCGACACCAAAATCTTAGCCGTCGATAGGAACACCAAGTACTCCATGCTCATCTCTAAACTCTCTTCGCTTTCTGATTCCTCTGAAGTAAGTTTTAAGTATCAGTTGCCCGGAGAAGACCTTGATGCGTTAATTTCGGTTACCAATGATGAGGATTTGGAGCATATGATGCTTGAATATGACCGTCTTCATCGGTCTTCAGCTAAGCCGGCGAGGCTGAGGCTGTTTATATTTCCGTTGAATGCCAACCCGCCGCCCTCCGTGAGTAGTTTTGAGTCGGATGATTCCAAGGCTGACAGGCAGTGGTTTGTTGACGCGTTGAATGCTGCGCAGATTAATCAGAATTTGGAGGGCTCTTCTCCGCAGTCTGTGGCGGTTTCTGGGGTGGAGGAGCCGGCGAGGAGCCCTGATTTTTTGTTTGGTTTGGAAAAGGGTCATCCCACGCCGGCGAAGTTGCAGGATCCTCCGCCGGTGGCCCCTACGGTTATGGTTCGGCAGGTGATAGGCGAGCCCGTGGTTCCTCCGGCGGCGGAGATTCAACGGCAGATGCATGAGTTGCAGAAGATGCAAATTTCAGGCCATGATCAAGATTTGTACAGGAGGAAAGTCGATGAGTTTTACCAGCAAAAACCTCCACCCCAGGCTCCTCAGGCGGAGCAGGTCCCGCCGGTGACAACTCCGGCGACGTATTGGCAGGAAAGACAAGGGCCTTTTCCAGCTGGGGTTGGAGTTGGAGTTGGGGTTGGGGGAACCGAGCCTCCTCCTATGTACCTAATTCAAACTCCGGCGGGAGTTTATCAAGCTCCGGCGATGAGACAGGTCCCCGGCCAAGTCGGTCAGCAGTACTTTGGAGTGCAAAGGATGGTGCCGGAGGCTTACCGGGAACAGCCGGTGTATAATCCGATGGGTCCGCCTGCATCTTCCTCGATGATTCAGCAACAAAAGTTTGGTGGGGCCTACACATCTGACGGGATTGGAATCGGATTGGTACGGCCACCAATTGCTTCTGAGCCCGGGTATGCGCAAGTTAGCTACGACAGCGCAGGAAGGCAGGTCTTCTGTGCTGCGCCTGGAGGCGTGAATGTGATGCACCCTCCTCCGCCTTACCAGGCGGTGCCCACGATGGCTCCCACCTTGGACGTTAGACAGGCCGGTGGAGTTTTGAATGCCGACGGCAAATTTGTGGTCAAGTCTTCGCAGCCATCTTGAATGTATTAGATATTTTTCTTTTTAATTTGTATCTTTTTTTTTTTTTTTGTTTGAAACAATTGTATCCTTAATACTAGTACTAGTTTTTATAATGTAATGCGATTATGATAGGTGCTTATGGGTTGACATGAGCTTGTTTGGCATTTTTGTTCTGGTGTATACATATGTAAAATTCAGCAAAATCAAGAGAAGCGAATTAATTACGCTACTATCGAGAGGGTTAATATTTTTATGTAACATTTAAAATAATAACTGTAGTATTTTTTATTATATGATATATGTAAAATAAAAAAGTCATTGAAAAATTTGAGAACTGCATTGTAAAATGTGTTTGAGATGTTATAAGTAATTTTTATAATAGAATGCAATTATGCTGGATGTGTATGTTTTGACAAGCAGTGGAGCTCTTTTTGCATTTGTTTGGATAGATTATTATTTGAAATATTATTTGGGATAATTACTATAACACTTTTTATGATATGATGTATGTGAGATAAAAAAGTGATTGAAAATATAAAAATGTAGGTTAGGAAATATGTTTATGATGCAAGCGAAATATTATTTAGGATAATTTTAATATTATTTGGGAAATTTGTTATTTTGTGTATACTATTTCTTTTTTCGGGGATTCAAGAATGCTAGATAAGTGGATTATGTTGGAATCATGGCGAATTCATTAAGGGTGACTTTATGGGCATATTTTAGATTAAAGTTAGCAATATTGCATTAGTTTAGTCATGCATATTGCTGGATTTCTTTTGGTGTTTTGCATTGATTGGTTGGTAGTTGACCTACAACGCGCTATTTGGTTAGGTTTCTTGCAAGACAAAGTGCAATAGAAGTCCACACCAAACATTATTGAATTAATGAATTTGAAGGTGGAAGTGGAACTAGACGGATCAGGCTCCGCTGCTTGTATGATACTGCTTGATAATTCAATTCAACATTTAAAAGTATGATTAATCTTTCCTATATTAACAGTGTATACATTCTCAGCGTTGAATGAATTACAACTATGCAAAATTTGAATTTGAAGTTCAACTTTTGCACACATGTTATTAATCAAACGGTGATAGTGTATACACTGTCAATGTATATAAGATTTACTGTTATAATTAATGAATTCAAATTTTAACATGTTGAGTCGCGTAT